TTTCTGCTACATGTGTCAGGGTGTTTTTAAGTCTTGCTAGAGGCTTTGAGTGTTGGCTACAGCCAAGACTGGGGACTTTGACTGGGGTGCTGCTGTTCCTGCCGGGAACAAATCTGGAGGTTCCTGGCTAGAGGGTTTTGCCCCTCCATTCCTGATCAGACTGATTGCCATATTTGGGGTCAGGAAGGAATTTTACCCAATGGTCAGATTGGTATGGACCGTGGGGGTTTTTGCCTTCCTCTGTAGCAGGCAGGATGGCCCTCTACCTGGGACCTCATGAGCATATATTGATAACATTTTATAGAAGCAGGACAGTGGCTGCTATAGTTCCCCTGCTTTATCTGTGGCAGGTTAGAGTGTTAGGTTTATGTTGTGTCGTGGTTGATGGTAGACTTGCATAGAGTTTAGATTACGGTTGTGTGGGACGGTTTGGATAGGAATGAACTTGCGTCAGGCAGGGGGTTGAACTAGATGATGTCTGGAGGTCCCTTCCAGCCCTACTTCTCTATGTCTCTATGACTTAAGGAAGAGAAAAGATGGTATCAAGGGGAAGATGCTTAAGTACTGCCTGGATGACTGGATGTTATGTTAACAGGGCTATCCCTGGTGGGGGGCGGGAGGGCAAATCGGCGTGACAACCCCAGACCCTGCGCTTTGCGGGGGCCCCATGGAGCTGGGCGAAGCAGCTGCAGCGACTCTGCACTGCTGCTGCTTGCTTCACGTCCAGCCACTCACTACCCCTCTCCCCACCCCCTGCCGCCGCTTCCCCCACTGATGGCGGCTGCAGCTTCTTCAGGTCTGGGGCGCATGGGATTGGAGAGGGGGTGGGGCCCCACATGGGCTGATTTGCCCCAGGCCCTGCACCCTGCTCGGGTCCGCTCTGGATGTTAAGCAGGATTCTTAAACCAAATTCTTTATAGGTGATCTTTAAATGTGTGTTCCATGTTTTCATAGTGCCCTGCTTGAGACTCAGGTCCTTATAGAAGTGCTAATCACTCAAAGCTGCAACCAAAATCAACATATACAGTACTATATAACGCGACATATTTTCTATTTCCCTCCCCATGCAAAGAAATTAATACTAGTTTTAAAGTCTCAGGTTGGACCCTAACATTAATGGATACTCATGGCCTTTATTTTCCCTGGGCATCAGCTTCTCCTTTATAAAACAACTATTCATTTCAAAGGATATTTATGAAAATAAATTGTCTGTGAAGAAAATCAAGAACTATAGTGTTGCACACCTTAAAAACAGAGCATAAAGAAGAGCATGGTTTGAATGTGGCATGGTACCCAGTGCCTAGGACAGTGAGAAGAAAACAGACTGAATAGCTGCTCATTAAATGGGCAGCGTTCTTTCTGTGCACTGAATAAGATGGAAGGGAGGGGGGTGTTCTGTGAAAAACTAGTATGTAATCCGATAATAAGGAGTATCATAAAGTATGAGGCCAAGAGATGGAAACGAGAGTAAGCACCTTTTAATTTAAACGTTTCCTAACTTTTGATTTCTTGCCATTGCTATCTTGAGGTTCTTTGCTGGGGGGAGGGGGGGGGAAAGTAGGTGTGTGTGTGTGCGCATGTGTAACTTAGTTTGTAAACTTCTGGAGCTTTGAACTTGTAACAAGGTTTCTCTCAATTTTTAGGCAGGTCTTGAACTAGAAATTTTGCAACTGAGCTTTGTGGATGCAAGTGGAGCACAATAATGGAGATATTGTCCTCCATGCAGTGAGTTTCATCTTAAAAGAAACTTGCTAAAGACTATCTAAAGACTATCTAAAGCATTGCCAAAGGGTTTTGCATTGAACATGACAATTCATGTCATGAGAATTTCCTATTATATTATACAAAGTTTATAAAGGTCCAGGAGCCCTGGAGTTGCAATATATACTGGAGAGGAAAAGAATGTTTCAGACTACAGTCTATAAATAATCATGGTTAACCCCATATTTTCTACTATGACATACTGTTCACAATATATTCTCACCTATATTGCATTTGTTCTCTCTTTCAATGTTCTCAAAGGGATTTTCTGTTGTGATTCAAGATTAAGTTAAATGAAAAGCCAAGTTGGCCTGGAAAAATAAAAGGTTGATGTAGGAAAGAAGGAAATTTCCGTGGATGCTTGAGATGTTGGTGCTTGAGGGGAACAATGTATTCTCAAAAGCCTCTCATAGCTATCTGGGAGGTGTCCACCTTTGTTTTAAGTCGGGGTAGTCAATGTTTTTTGGTCGGAGTGTCGAAAACCCCCACAATGCCTACCTTGGAAGGTGCCAGAGGGCTGGCATGCCAGAAAAACAAAATGGGGGCAGGGGGTACATGGCAGGATGCCCTGCATGTGCCCTTGCCCCACAGCCCTGATGCCTTTGCCCCCCAGCCCAGGCTCTGTGGCTGGGGGGCAGGAGCTGCTTGCAGCTGGGAGGCTCCGGAGCCCCGGCATCAGCTCCGTTCCAGCATGTGCACCTGTGCGTCAGAGCGGGCAGTGGGGGAGGGGCCTGAGGCAGTGCATGGGCACCTTGGAGCGGCTGTTCTGCCCTGCTGTCTGCCCCGAGGTGCATGCGCAGTGGCTGCCATCATGGAGCTGATGCTGGAGGTGTGGAGCCCGGCGCAGCTGTTTGCAGCCTGCCCGCTGCTTACTGCAGCTGCACCGAAGCCCAGTCGTCAGCTCTTTGCCAGGAGCGGGGGAGAGACTGGGGTTGCACTGCCTCAGGCTCCTCCCCCACCGTCCTCTCTGATGCGCGGGTGCACACACCGGTACAGAGCTGATGTTGGGGCTCCGGAGCCCAGCACAGCTGTTTGCAGCCTCCCGGCTGCAGCCAAGCCCGGCTCTGGGTAGTTGCTGCCAGCCACAGAGCCCAGGCTGCTCCCAGCAGGCAGCTGGGATGCTGCAAGCCCTGCTGGGAGCAGCCCGGGCTCCAGCAGCTACCCAGAGCTGGGGCTGGCTGTGGCGTGCCAAGTAAAATGGCCTCGTGTGCCATGTTTGGCACGCATGCCAAGGGTTGCCAACCCCTGTTTTAAGTTTACCCTAGAGGTTTGACTCTTCTTTGCTACTCTGTCTTTTTCATTAAATAATGACGTAAAATGAAAGATCAAGGTTTGGTCTCATTCTTAATTTTTTTTTTAATGTGACATTATAATTTGCTTGACTCCAGATACCCAAACCTCTTCTACTTTTCTTCTGTGTTTCTAGTATAACATCGCATACATGTAACAAGACTCATTCATGCAGGGTTCTACAGAGTCTTCCAAATCCTCATTGTTAACACTTTATTAATCAAAACATCTAGGGTTTAAAAGAACAATTTAAAAAAAAAAGTCATAAAGTCCAGAAATAGCTTGTACCTTATCCATGCAGAGAGCCTGAAGTGCAGAGGTGTAACAGGGCAGCTCTGTGTCCTGGGCAGTGGCACCACATGGGACAGCTCTGGTGGTTTTATTTTTGCATACCCTCCACCTGTTCCCCCTCTCCCTCCTCCTGCTTTGTTACAAAAGCTTGTTAGATACTAATAAAGACTTAATGGAGGAGGATGTCATAAAGTAACACTAAGTAGTGCTTTACTTCACATCCAATTCCATTGATTTCCAGCAGGATTGTCAGAGGAATAGAGTGCTGGATGACACGTACAGGGGTATGGGAACCTACGCCTTACTTTCAAAACTCAAACTAACTTTTTAAGGAAATGTGATGATGTTTCTTTTAATTTTGTGCTACTTTGTTATGAAGTATGTTTGTGTTTTGTTTTTTTTAAACCAGATTTCTGTAAATAGTAGAAACAATAAAGAGAGATCCATCTCACTGTGATGCTGAACTGTGATGACCAACTCCAGAGGTTTCGATAGAAATTGAATATGGCTTAGCAGGACTGATCTTCAGAGAACTAATGATGTCCTCAGGTACCAGGAGCCGCAAGAACCGGCAGGCTCTGAGCCTGCAGGGAGTTGACCCAGAAACATGCATGATTGTGTTTAAAACACACTGGGCACAGGTAATAATAATTGAATAATGCTTGAGGTTGCATTGATGGGAATCTACCCAAAACAAAGAAGGATAAGATAATATAGTGTATAACAAATGCAAGTCTTTCATGTGCAATTTATCTGCTGATACTGAAATATATTTAAAATAATAGCATAAGCCAGTCATTGAAGTACAGGAAGACCTTACTAATCCACCCATTGTTCAACCCAAATTTATATGACACAGAAGTAGTGTTCCTGTTCCTTCCTGATCTATCACTGAGCACCCTGGCAGACATTACATTTAAGACATGATTAAGCAGTTAATCATGTTGTAAGTAGTAGTCTGGCTACATGTTCACGCAGTTAATGGTGTGATAAAACAGGGAATAAACCATAAAGTCATTACACAGAATGCGTGTAATAACTTTGTGGTTGCTTCTCGTCACACCTTAAATTGAACATGTGGCCAGGCCATGAGGGATTCAAGCTTCAGGGGTGCACCAGAGTTAAGGGTTCCTGTTTGTGGCTGAGGCTGGGAGTGGTGATCAGCTGACTGGTGCTCCAGGCTGGGCACACTGGGCACCTAGCTTGCTACTTGCTAGTGCAGGGGGAGTCTGTGGTCTTGATTCCAGGCTTGCCCCACACCAGCAATGGCATGATTAGGATCTGATCCTTAATCCCACAGTCAAGCTTCCAGCCATACATGTGTAGCATTGCAGAAGGTGCGGTTCGTGGGATCATGGATCAGATTCCATCACGCCTTTGATTGAATGTCTGCCAGGGGCCTCAAACTGGGAAAGCTAGATTCTGTTTCCATATTTTGCATAGTTCTCAGTGACTCACTGAGATATTGGGAAATCACTTTTTGCCCCTTAGTTTGCTTTTGTGTTTCATGCTTACCAACCTTTTTTGGAATTTTTAAATGTATGGGTGAAAAGCTGCATACAGCTGTTACATACTGTTACTCAACTATTATTTTCTGTTTGCAATGTTGCAGGGGCGGGGCTAGGACTTTCTGTTCTAAGCTTAGCATGATAGAATATAAATGTTATTGTTAATGGCTTCTGACCCTACCAGGCACTCTTCTAGCCCTGGCTCATGCTGTTTTTGTTGTTACTTAAGAAGGGAACTGAATGAGGCTGCTGCTGCTGCTCTTGACATTTTGTTGTAGGGTTTGATGAGCCACCTGGTGGCTGATCTCTAGATGCACACTTTTCCATAACTCCTCAGTGGCACCATTACTGGAGGAGAGCTGTCACTATTCTGCATTCTTGCAGTATTCAGCCTTGACAGGGTTGAAAATAAATGTGAACTCTATTCTGTTCTCTCTAGGAGAACAGGCTGTACCGACTGTACTCCCTCTGCTTGGGGTGCCATGGATATTATGTGTTAGTCCAGAGGGCAAGGTGTTGTGATAGTAGTTCATGTTTGCTCTGTTGAATACCCGTAAGAGGGTGCATGCAGTAGTGGCCATTTTTTTTAACTTAAAACATGACTATGTAAGATACTTACTGAGTGCCTTCAGCTATTGGGAAAATAGAATGCTCAGGACCTTGCAGGATCTGGTTATTACTTTGGCAAAAGTCGTCTTTTCAACCAATCACAATTCTTTTACCACTTTCAAGTTTAATGAGTTTTGCAGCAGTAACACAGTATGGCTCAGTTTGTGGCCCGCTATAATCACCTGATCCTTTGCTTCAGTACTGTAGCCTAACCGGTTATTCCCCATAGTATTTGTATTGCTCCACCCTAAGGCAGAACTTTGCCCTTGTCCTTGTTTAATTTCACTCAATTCTGGATCATTTTCCAGATTAGAGGGGAGGATTAGAATTCAGATTAATTTTGATAAAGTGTCTGCAACTCTACCCAGTTTAGCGTCGTCTGCAGATTTACTGAATGTGCACTTAATCCCATCCTCCAAGAACAGAACCCAGGGCATGTTTTTATGAAAATCTACTTGATGTCTCCTTCCAGTTGGACATAGATCCATTTATGAGCTCTTTATGAGCATAATGATCCAACCAGTTATGTATCTGTCTAGCTGGGATGGTCTAGTCAGGAATGCTCTGGCCTTGAGCAGGGGGCTGGAGTAGATCCCTTCCAGCCCTACATTCCTATGATCCTGTGACCTTAAATTACTTTAATCTAGACAGTATTTCCTTAGATTATGAATGAGACTGTCATGAGAGGCCGTGTTGAAAACCTCACTAAAGTCAACGTATATTGCAGGCACTGCTTTCCCCTATCTACAAAGCCCATCGCCTGTTGTAGAAGGAAATCAGATTGGTCAAGCATGACTTGCTCTTGACAAATCCATATGGACTCTTGCCTTATTATCTTCTAGGTGCTTAGAAATAGATTTTTTAATGATATGCCCTAAAATTTTACTGGGAATTGATGTTAGACTGGTCAATCCATAATTTGAATCTTTATTTTTCTTGTTTTTAAAGATAGGCACTATTATTGGCCCTTTGCAAGTCCTCCAGGATCTTGCCTGACCTCCATGAGTTCTCAAAGAAAATAACTAATTTCGTGGGTACTCTAGAATGAATCTCCTTTGGTGCTGCTGAATTGAAAATGTTTTGTACTGGGAGTAGAGCCTTTGACTTTGGACCTCTATCATATGAAATTAAATTTGTTTTGAAACAGTAGTGAAACTTAATTTTTAAACTACAGTAGAGCCTAGCTCATCCACGCTTCAATAAATCCCAAATCTGCAACAGTAAGATGACTTGTGAATAGTGTACCTCTCAATGTAAGTGCATCACAGTCTTGTCCCAAATATTTGCAAAGCGTAAAGATTTTAAAGTCTGACTTTTTCTTTTATCACCTGTGGGGGGGAAAAAAACCTTAAAGCATAAAAAAGTAAAAGAAGTTACTTCTGTCTTTAATCCTTTGTACACTCAGATGATAGATGTTTATTTGGGTTCTGTTTAGGTTGTGAAAATCTTAGAGAAGCATGACCCTTTGAAAAACACTCAGGCAAAATATGGGGTGATCCCACCTGATGAGGCCAGCACTGTGCAAAATTATGTGGAGCATATGCTCTTCTTATTAATTGAGGAGCAAGGAAAGGATGCCTCAATGGGGCTCATCCTGGAGTTTGTGGTCACAGAGAACATCATGGAGAAGCTCTTCCTTTGGAGCCTGAGACGGGAGTTCACTGATGAGACAAAAATTGAACAGCTAAAGATGTATGAGATGCTGGTCACTCAATCCCATCAGCCTTTGCTGCACCACAAGCCAATTCTGAAGCCTTTGATGATGCTGCTGAGCTCTTGCTCAGGAACGGCCACACCAGATGTGGAGGTGGAGCTGGTTGTCCTGCTGAACCAACTCTGCTCCATCATAGCCAAAGATCCTTCCATTTTGGAACTGTTTTTCCACACCAGTGAAGACCAAGGAGCTGCCAATTTCCTCATTTTTTCCCTTTTGATTCCTTTCATTCATCGAGAAGGAACAGTAGGCCAGCAGGCTCGTGATGCTTTGCTCTTCATAATGGCCCTGTCTGCAGAGAACAATGTTGTTGCAAATCACATAGTAGAAAACACATATTTTTGTCCGGTAAGTTTTTTCCACGAACTTCCTATCTTTCTGCAACTTTTAATTTTGTCACTTTTTTTTCCTACCCCTCTTCTTTTTCATAAAATAGCTTTTGCTTAAGTCAGAGATTCTAAAAATTAATGCAGGAAAGCACATCAGTCCTTCAGATTCTGTCCTTGTGGATGTTGGAGTAAGGAGATGCAAGGAAGCATCTATGTTTGTGTGCAGCAGCAGTGCATCCCAGCCAGGATGGTCTAAAACACACCCCACCATAGGGAGAGGAAGAAAAATCAAATGGGGGGGGGGACGCTGAGCATGTGTGTGCACACACCTCCCCCATGGGAAAGTCTGAGGGAGGAGGGGAAAGGGCCAAGGTGGGGGAGTGACATTGCCCAGCATTTGCCACCCTGGCCCCAACTACCTCCTGGCCCTGACCATGTCAGCCCTGGATGCCACACCAGCCACGGGTAGGCACTGCCCTGTGCATCCCACTGCTGGGTGGGGTGGGCAGTGAGGTACATGACGGTGCCTGCCACTTTCACAGTGGCAGTGGCGAGACATGGAGCAGAGACTGAGCCCAGGTCACAGCTGTAGCCTGCCCTTGGCTGTGCAAAGACTGGGGGGCCACATGCCCTCCCCACCATGGCTGCCTGGTGCTGTGCCTCTGGAGGAGGTGCTGGGCTCTGATTGTCCCATGACCCGGGCGGGCTGGGGCCCCATTCATGGTGGGTGGGCCCCGGCCAGGCCAGGTCATGGGACAATCCGCACAGTGTAGGAGGGAGCGGGCCAGGGGCAGGGGTGAATGATTTGCCCTTCCCCTACCCACTCTCTCCTGCGCTGTGGGGGTCTTGATCTGCCCTCCCGCAAGCCCATGGAAATAAAAACAGATTAAAACAAACTTACCTGCCTGCTGCTGGGATGGTTGTGATTCTGGCTGTGAGTGCACAGGGTAGCTCAGCATGCCTGCCTCTCCCCCTCTGCTGCAGGACCCTGCAGCCGAGTTGCCTTAAGGCAATGCCTGCTGCTGCTCTGTGTTTGGAGGGGGATGAGCCCCATTAGCACCCCTGTTCCGCAGCCTATGGACCCCACCAACATGGTCCAATATCCTTCTGCTGCTATTGGTGGAACTCTGTTTCTGGCATCAGCTGGGGATGACCCTAGAGCAGTGGGGGCCAACCCTTTTGGCAGGTGTGCTGCAAATGGAATTCCACATCTTCCCTGACTGCCAATCCAATCCCTTTCTCCTACCTGATCTGCTGCTGTGCTGCCTGTCCTCTCCCTAATCTTCTTCATGCCACGTAC